TATGACTACAATGTAATAATCTATTTTTAAATGATAAGTTATAGACTAACGTCTATAACTTAAATGGGTGTGTTTATTAGCAAGTTTAGCCTTTTCAAGGACAAATAATATAATAAAAACCCACACTATGCTCTATTATGATATACGGGAAAATCGAACATATGTGAAGCATCAAATCGTTATTGACAGATATGAGAAAACGAAAAAGAAACAATTTTCACGTGCTTTTCTATAGTTCTAATAGTACTTTTTAATAATTGATCGAATATATCTTTAGATTTAAATATTTTCATAGAAGATCATTAGAATATTATTCTTTTGTATGAAAACAAATGTTTCAATATATGTATATAACTTAATAATGAAAGAAAGAAAGATTCAATATAAATTTTAGTATAAATAATTTTCAATCGACCTTCCAGCCTGTTCTTGATTGACAATTAACTTAGATTGTCCTATTTTAATTTGTTTTTTGAATCAGACCTATATCGATTTTAGTCAGTTTCAAATTCGATTCTAATTAAAATCTTTCAATCAAAATCAATGAGAATAATAATCTAACTTCAGGAATTATTCTACAACCCAAAATATCAATCTATTCGTTAATGAAAAGCTGATCGATCTATTCCAAGCATAAGAGAGAGAAGAGCTCGACAAAGCATAACTGACTATCAAATTCCTTCTTTCATGAAAAAATAAAATCTATCATGTTCTGGCTTTTCTTTCTTTCTCTATCACTTACTCTTTCAACATATAGAAATAATAAACTATCTTTGTTATTCATTTCGATTATCTTAATTAGCTGCCAAATTAGGAATGGACCGAATCTGAAAAAAATTAAGCTGGAATAAATCAATCAGAGATCAGTTTTGAAGATATTCGGTCATCATCAGCAGAGATGAAATAAATATTTATGAAAACTTCAGTATAATTAGAAAACTTATATAACACGTAAGTTTGCACTGTCACCAGTATATCGATGATTTATCGGCGATAGCACTTAGGACTTTATGTTTCCCACTCAAAGTCGAATTATTCATTAGAAAAAATTCAAAGTAATCGAGAAGAAAACAGTTTCAGAATATATTTTACTAATAAAAATTTATTTTATGACTATGACCGATTTGGATTTTGCGGCTACTACAAGCGACTCAGACGCATCAACACTATCAGAGTACATTGACAACGACTCAATTCTGTCATTTTTAACAGACTTCAAAAAAATTCATCAGTGTTGATACAATACGTCATGATACAATACTTTCAAAAAAACAGCCAGTGGTAGTTTCTCGATAGTTATCACATGGGAATATATAGCAAACGAGATGATAAGGTGTGTGGATGGGTGTGGGTATGAGTATGGATATAGTTCTTCTCTTCATTGACAGCCACGCCCACATTCCTGTTATATACATTATTGTACATGAGGCATTCTACTATGTAGTCGCGCAATAAAACTTTATATATTAACTATCTTATAAAATTTTAAATACCAAGATCAGAACTTTTGGTCAACCCCAAGTAGATAATATTCGAGTTCCATTCTACTGCGAAATGCAGTACGAAGCTTCAAATCTCGATTGTCGGAGAATTCGATATCTTATAGAAAAACGAATCATTGTTTATATGATTTGTCACAAAATGCTTTTCGTCAAAAGATATTTACGTGTTACTGGAATCAGGATTTTTTTCCTTGCTCTAAATGAGAAAATTTAAGCTTCAATTGATCAACTGACTTGAGTCAAAATGAAAGTAAAAAGTAGCCACTCCGAAATTCATTACTAAGAAAACTCAGTATATATTACTTTAGAAATCATTTTTAAGAAAATAAACCATTTTTTGGAAAATAAAATTTCTGCAAAAATCATCTGTGGGAGATCTTTGCCATATTAGGTAAAAACCCAAAGTTTTTTTCGTATTCTTAACTCAGTCCACGTTAACTAACGCTATTCGACGCTGTAAACCAATGCTAGATCTGACATCGAAGAATATTTGTTGAAAATTTGAGTTCAATTAGACTTTATCTAATTGTAGCGCTTACAAAATCAAGAAAGCCAATTTGTGGGAAGATCTGTAGTATAAAAGTCAAACACTTTTTTCTACAAAAAATGGGTGCTACATATTTTTCCGGTACAACTTAAAAGTTGATTTTGAATATCATTCTGGTTTTGCACTAGTAGGGATTTAAGGGCAAAAAACGGCAGTTTTAAAAAGACTCGTAGCACGGCTGTACTCATTAGCATGAAATGGCGCTATGGTTAATGATGAACCACATTTTTCTATTCCATTTCTGATTCCATTGAAACAACTTTTTCATACAATAAAGCTTATCAGCCAATTAGTCGCTGTGGATAGTTTTTCATTTTAAAATATTTCGTTAACTTGATAGTAAAAATGATATCTGCATCATACCAATTTAAGAAAGACGTTTTTGATGATGAGTTTTTCCGACATTCGACTTGGTTTCTGGAAATTTTATTTTAGGATAAGATAGACTAATCATTGATGTATTTATTTCAATATTTGAGTATTGACAGAGAGAACTTTCGGTCATATCCGTCTGTTTGGTCACTGTGTCACATCTACCATTCTGATGTATATGCTTGAACCATTCCTTTTTCGAAAGACAGACTGTGCAATTCTCTACAAAACGTTATGATAAGAACTCTTCTAGTGAGTAGCTATAGAATTATATTCAGTCAACGTTACAATGCTCTAGAACGACTCACTTTCAAAGCACTCGTTTTCGTATTAACGATCTTGTGCCGCTCTTTTGATCACATATAAAAAGATTGAATAGACTATTTTGTAGTCCATGAAAAGTTCTGTTAGTTCGGCGAATACTTTTCTTTGGCATACTGTCAACTTAACTAAAGAAAACCTTTTTTTTTTGTTGTTTCCCTCTATTCGCATTCTGAGGATCTTCCATTAAGATTCATTGAAAATTTATTACATATTCAGATTTATTACCTAGTTGAAGAAAAATATTTTCTCTATCATTTCAACGCAAGCAAAATGTACTAAAGTACTTTTTTCTGCAACGCTTGACGTGTATAATGAAAACAATTGATAGTTTCAACTCGTCTTTTTAAGAAATTTGCTCGCTGGAATCTCACAATCGCATCTGAATACCTTCTTTTGAGCTTCACTAGAAAGAATACACTTGAAAATACAGGCAGCCTGTAAGAGAGTAGAATCTCGTATCTGTTTTGTATACAAAAACACTTCTATGACAATCCATTCAAGAGATTAATAAATATTTACTTAATTTTTAATTTAAAATATGATTAATATATTTTCATTTTATTTTTATTTGAACGCTCAAAATAACTCGATTGATACATAGCTCAAAAATATTAAAACTAACATTTTCAAGAAGAAACTGTAAAACATTTTACAGATTTCTTAACTGATTATTCTCTATTTGTAATAGAGAATCTGACCATTTAGACAATTTTCTGATTCAATCATGCATTTGTACCAATGGGTCAATCCAATTCAATTCGAATCCATTTTAATATTACAAGAAAAAGAATTAATCAAAAGATGCGCCTCTGATACTAGGAATGGTACAAATAGAATAAGTACTGCTTTTCATTGCATAGTCCGCAATAGCAGCAACCATTTCGATTATAACTTTCATCTTTTCGAGGTTATAAACGAAAAAACTTTTCAATCAATAATCTCATTATGCAATGAAATATCTTTACATTCACTTTATTTAAACGATCGGCTATCTTCTAACTACTATTCTACCTTCAAAGAGTACTAATTGAAATGCAGAACAATGAATATTTATATATATAGTTTAATTAATAATCAACCTATTAAAGATTGAACTGCTAGATTTAGTTTTTATGTTCCGTCATCTGCATAATTTTCATAATGATACTACTTAGCTGGCAATATAAAAATACAACTATCGAATATGTCAAAGAATGATACTTATCGAAAAACAGTTCGAATCATATCGCTTGGAATGAAGCCTTCCATATGATTCAAATCGGACAACAACTGTTCGATATAATATGCGCTATACCAATGGCATCGACAAAAAACCACCACTATACCGATATTCTGATATTTAGACGATTTGCTATCCTCTAATCAGCAATCCACTGCCGAACATACCGTCGGTACTGCCAACAAACGTGCAACATGAGATCAGAGATGGAACCGGTATCGGTTATTACTGATGTGCCTTATTAATTTTTTTGCTCTTGGTATTCCATGGAGGATGTATAATGAAACATTGTTGAAGGTTGACTATGTCAAATATCACTATACAAATTTGGAATAGTACGATGACTCGTCAGTCCAGTGTCGGTATAGATTTTAGATTGACCGGTCTAGTCTACTCAGGCCTGTATCAATGCCAGTCATGACAAAACTCAGATCGGTTCCATCTATGTATGAAATGTCAATAGTTTAAACCAAGTAATGGGAAAAATTAATTTTTTTATTTATTTAAATGAAAATTTAGGTCGTCATATACATTTTCCGAATACATTACTGTTCTTACGAAACCATAGAGGTTTCATAAAATTAAACAAAAAAAAAATATTTATGAAAATAAATTACCCATTTGATGCGAATTGATTTTCGTCTAATTTCTGCTATTTTTCCTTTTAGTATGTCGAAATTCCTGAAAATAAATTTTGTTTTTTCAACATCTATATAAAGATATATCACTCAATACCAACATTTGTTACTGTTCTATCCAAATTTAATTAGTTCTATTATTGCTTTCTCAAGCTATTACGATAGATCGTCAATAATTCAAATAAAACAATAATATTAATCAGTTTCAATACGATAAATAAATTCACTTTTTTTTTGTAATAATCCAACGAAATGATGAAAACAATCGACGGCTGTCGTGTATTACATCTATGAGAAAAAAATACATCTGGATCAACATATAATATAATGTGTTACTGATAAAAGAATCCCATGATATTTTTTTTAAAAATCTTGTGCTTGATTAAAACAAGAATATCATGTGTTCTATAAAGATCATTTGCTCAATAGTCTTTTTTCTATTGTCATTGAGCAATATTTATTGTGACAAGGATGCAGACATTAATACTCTTCAACAACTAATCAGCAGTTTAAGTAATGCACAAAAAGAAAAAATTTTTCAATCACTTTTGGAAAATTCAAATCAAGGTCGACAAGATAATTCAAACTGGTGTTGTAATACGGATCCTGGTAACAAATTGTTATTATTCGATTATTTTAATACTAATACTTTTTATTTCTTTTCAGGTGTTGAAGCTACAGCAAAAACTCGTCAAACAACTTATTACGTTCAACGACATGCACGCAACAAATGTGGTTATAGTAGTTGCAATCTATTTGGTTGGGGAAGCTGTACACGTTGGTGTGATACATATTGGTCAGAAATGCAACATGGCGTTGAAACATATATTGTTTATACGCCACGTTTATGTCCAGCAGGAAATCTTGTTTGTTGTGCTGGTTATATAACAGTTATCAATCATTGCTTTACCTATCAAGAAGTTATGAATAACAAAGATGTTTTAGAAATACTTGTTTCTATGGGTATTTCTATTAATCCAACAATGGGTTAAATAATAATAATAATAATAAAGACTAAAATAATAAAAATAAACTAACGACATCTATCATGAATATATTTCTATTTGTTCATTTTGATTACCAGTATACTAAAAGAACAAAGAGCTTTCTTTTTTCTTTTTTTTTTCTTATATTTTCTTTGCCCTTGAATTGTGCAGATCTAATATGGCAACACGAACATCAACACGATCAACTAAAGCCGTTAAATTTGTTGATTCTGCTGATGATGATGAAGGAGAATTTGATAATTCAAGTGCAATAAGAATAAAAAATGAACCAAAAAAAGCTAAAACTCGTGGTCGTACACGTCGAAATCAAACAAACGATGATGAAGATTGGGATGCAAGAAATGAACAAAGTGAAGAAGATGATGAAAATGATGATGAGAGTATCGATAATGGAGATGTTACAAAAAAATTTAAAACTAATACTGTTAATCGTTCGATTGATTCTGTTTATGATTTTGGGTAAGAACAATTTTCTCTTGAAAAAAAATAAACAACAATCTATTTTTAATAAAGAGAAATGAGTAATACAACAAGAAAATGGTCAAAAACAACAACAACACCAACACCACAACGTAATAGTACTGTTAGTGATACAGGAAAATCAATGGAAAAATTAATGTGTTCATATTGGTAAGAGTGAATAAAAATAAAAAGGAAAACTTAACAAAAAATTCTATTTTAGTAATTATACAACAGCAAAAAAATATCTTCTTCAACGACATTTAAAATCTCATTCAACTGAACGACCACATAAATGTAAAAAATTTTAAATAATAAAAAACAAATAAATGAATAGATTGGTTTTTTTGTGATTAGGTGCTTATTGTGATCGATCATTTAAAACAACAATACAATTAACTAATCATGTTAATACACATTTAGGTGTTAAACCATTTCAAGTAAAAAATAAAAAACAAATAAATTTCTGTTCTCCAAAAATAAAAGTTTTCTTTTTCTTTTTTCTAGTGCAAATTTTGTTCATTTTCATTTACAACAAGTGGAGAACTTATTCGGCATGTTCGATACAAGTAAATATATATTATTTTTATTTCTTGATTTAATTTTTTGGTCTTTTTATTTTTACAGACATACACTTGAAAAACCACATCGATGTGACGAATGTGGTTATGCTACGGTTGAATTAAGTAAATTAAGACGACATATTCGTACACATACAGGAGTATGTTATTTATTTATTGTTGTCTTTTTTTCGTAAAGTTTATTTTCTCTTTATAGGAAAAACCATATGCATGTCCACATTGTTCATATTGTAGTCCGGATACGTTTAAACTTAAACGACATTTACGTGTACATACTGGTATAAGAAGAAAAAAAAGACAATATTTAATAATTATTGAAGATTTTATTTTTTCTAGGAGAACGTCCATATCAATGTACAATTTGTAATTTTCGTTTTACTCAAAGCAATAGGTAAGAATGTTTATTAAGACAAAATAGGATATATCCATCTTTCATTTAATCTTGATTCTTTACAAAGATTATTTTTCTATTTAACCATATGACAAAAAAAAAATGTACGATATGAATTGTATATTTGATGAAATTTTCAACAAGATCGAAATTCAAAAAAAAAAATTTAGAAAGTTCGTTTGTCAAGCAGCACTGTTTGTTTTTTGCATCCTACTCAGTGTTTTATCCAGAGGGGTGCCCGGGGGGGGGGGGGGGCCGGGCCCCCCCGGAAATCGAGTTTGCCCCCCCCGAAACTTGCGATCATCGTACTATAAACACGTGGCTTGCCCCCCCGAAAATAATTTTTCGCCCCCCCGAAATTCCAAATCGCTCCTCCAGAGAAAAAATCCTGGATAAAACACTGATCCTACTATATATAAAGTATAGTACATTAGAATTTTTATAAGCGAAACATAAATGAAATGAGAATATCGTAGAGTAAAAGTTAATTCTTTCATAATTATTCGAACTTTATATATTGTCTAATTGATGTAAAATTATACTAGAACAAATATGAGTTGCTCTAAAATTAATATTACAAGTGCAATCGCTATTGACTATAGTTATATAGCTGATTCTGTATGCAATACCCTGAAAGCGGAGTTCATACCCTTAGTTTATTACTTCGCATTTTTTTAAATGAATGCCATATTCTAGAAAAACTGATTTTTCAAATTTAGAGTTGAAACTTTGTATAGATACAAGCCACTTAACGAGAACAGTTTACTGCAAAAGTTTCAGACCTTTCGATTTGCTTCTATAAGGATAAAATATACAGATTGATATGAACAATTTAGAAGATACGCTATTACTACAGTTGTATCTTATGGTAAGAATAGTGATGAGATCTGAAAGATTTACAAAAAACTATTCTTGTTAAGGTCTGTTTTTATGCAAAATTTCAATTCTAAATTCGAAAATCAGTTTTTCTAGAACACGGAATTCATTCAAAACAATACACCTTGACAGCAATAAGCTAAGAATACGAACACTTTTCAGAATATTCATAACTCATTACAGTCAGTCGGGTTGATTGCAGGCTGTAGATTACATAACGCATATAGTTTTGACTCAAACATGATTTATCAGTTACTATTTAATTTCTTAATTTGATTTTAGTTTAAAAGCTCATATGTTAACACATCAAGCTGAAAAACCATCATTTCCTTGTTCATATTGTCCATCTGTTATGGCTCGAAAATCTGATCTTCGTTATCATATTGGTAAACAACATGCTCGTCAATCCGAACCATTATCATGTACTAAATGTGATGAAGATTTTCCTGATAAGTATGCTTATATTTCAAAAATTTTGTATTTAAAAACAATCCATTTCACATTTAAGATATTCATTACGTATGCATGGTAAAACTCATAAAGGTCAAACAATACATTCATGTACACATTGTGAATTTTCTGCTAATACAAGTCAACAATTAGATGATCATATGAATAAACATCGTGGTACACGTCCATTCCAATGTAGTGAATGTGGTTTAATGTTTGCAGCTCGTGCTGATTTACGTGCACATGTTACACGTACACATAGAAATGCTTTAACGCCAGCAATAACATCAACACCAACACCAACAACAACAATAAATTCTCCAACAACAACAATAAACCATCGTCCACAACGACGTGCTGCATCATTACAACATCGTTTTATAGGTGTATCATCAGGTGCTGACGATGATGAACATCAAGAAGATGATTTTCATTGTCCAATATGTCATAGACAATTTACATCAGCACGTTTACTTGATAGACATACATATGCTGTACATGAACCAAAACAAGATTCATATGATGATAGAGATTATCAAACAAATGATATTGAAGATGATGATGATGATATACATGATTATGCTGATGATGAACTTGAAGAAAAACCAAAAATAAATATGAATAATAAAAATGATATTCATATAAATCCATTAAAAGTTGAAGAAGGTATAACAGATGATGAACAAATAATAAATGAAGAAGAACATGATTTAGCACCTAATGTTGAAGATATAATTGAAAATATTGATGATGATGATGATGATAATAATAATTATGAACAAATACCAACAATTAAATCAATATCATCAGCTAGTAAAAAACAAATTGGAATAATAAGAAAATTTGATGAAATTGATGATGATGATGATTTATCAAATAAAAGAAAATGTAATATAATTCGAGGTATGTTTAAATATTAAAATAATATTTTTATAATATTTATTTGTTTTTAAGCGTCATTCAAATCTAATGATGATGAAAAACCTGATTTTGATGTATTCGGTTTTGATGGATAATTATTTTTTTTTGTGTGCTTGTTTATATTCAACGAAAAAAAAATTTATTCTTGTACTTATTAGATATTCTTCTTCTTCTCATCGTGTTTGTTTATTTGTATGTGTAGAAAACTTATTTTGGTTGTTTTTTTTTGTTTTGTTGTTCTCAGAGATAATACGCAAAAAAATATATATATTGTATCCGAATAAGTTTCTTTTTTGTATGTATATATTATATATTGATTGTATTAGATTGAATACATCAAGAAAAAAAAATCAATGGAAAATCTATCATTTATATTGTAGATTTCAGAGTTGTTGATTAATAATTTCAAGATTTTATTAAACGATATCGATTCAGTTGATGAATTATTCAAAAAGAAGTTTTAGTATCTTTAGAGAATTCAAAAAAAAAAAACTTTGCTTCAATATGATTTGATAGAGAATATGTTGTTCTATTTTGATATATACTTCAGATACTTAGAAATATGATGAGAATAAATGATTAGATTAATATTAATATATTTTTATAATAAGATAAATATCTTCGCTGATTGATTTGATATTTCTATTAATTTGATTAGAATTTCATTTCAAATTAGATAGTATAGTAATTATTATTCTATGTAGTTTTTCAAGCAAAAAAACTTTTCTGACAACTTTATGGAATAATGGTTTAGCGTTCTAGAAAAAACAAATTAATATGATCTATTTGTTAGAAATATTTCTTTTGTTTTTAGAGAGTATACAACATTAGTTTAATAATGCATATCTTCTACACAGAATAAACAATTATTATAAGTGTAGAATTCATTTCACGCAACAAAAAATCTCATTGATATTTATATCATGATGCATGACATCTAATGGAATTTTCTTAAAAAAGATATTGATATTCATTAATATAATCGTTTCTTTTTTTGTTCTAAAATACTTTATACGTTAATTATTATCTATTGTATCTTTGTTTATTAATTTAACTTTATTTGTTATAGATTAATTAACAGCAGATTTGCATGACAGTTAAATTCAATTATTTTTCTCGTCATCATTTTGTCAACTCTTTTAATTTTTATTAGATTTTACAAGGTTAGTTCAAATTATCGTAAGAGATTCTCTCTGGTTTTCTTTTGTATTTTCAAGATGATAATTCATCGATATCATCGTTCACTTTTTAAAATTCTTATGTTTTTTGGTTTACCATATAGTACAACAATGGCAACAAAATCAAATCATAATAATTATCAATTATTAGAAAAATTAGTCGGTTATGAAAATCGTAAAAATGATGTTCTATTTTTTCCGAATTCAATTCAATCGTCATCAAATAGCATTGTTTATTATTTTGGTGGAGATGTTCAGGTAATACCAGAGGATTGATCATCGAGAATTACAAATAAACGTATTATAAGATGTCTCAGAGATAGGAAGTTTTTCTATGTAATATCTATAAGTAAAAAAAATCATTTCGTATATACAGTACTGATCTAAATTATGAAAACAAGGTCATTTGAATTTTTTTTCCTACCATTGACTGTAACAACATATGGTATAATCGATTTCTTCTTTTCTCATTTAAATTTTTTGAAGTAAATAGAATTAGAGAAAACAGTCTGTACGTTCCAAATATAAGACTGATTAGTCGTTTTTTTTATGACGATTCTCTATTTATAGAACTTTTTCTAAATCTCAAATGTATAGTAACTATTCGATTTTCTGTCATGTGAGATTAAATAATTCATCTAAAAATACAATAGAAATACTTTTGAATCAAAGCTAATGAATAGGAAAAAGAAGATAAACTTAAGCTGTCGTTTCTTATTCACAAATCTTTAAGATAAGACTTGAAGATTTGTTTGACACGCTAAATGTCATGAGAGATTTTTCATTTAATTTGATTCAGACACCCTCTTATGATACTACAGTTTTCAATAAAACTTTGATCATTCATTTTATTGATTCATTGTGATCAACTAATTATTGAACATATCAGCATCAGAAAACTTCCGATTCATGATAAAGAAAGAAAAGGAAAATAGGATCAATGCATCACGCAAGATTTTCTACATAATTAGTGTTACACGAGATTATAACATGCATAGTAAAATAATTCTGAATTGTGTTTTATGGAAGTCATTTTGTATAGATGACATCACATCGATCGGAAAGGTTTTAAACAAGATATTTATTCATTTTGAACTTGCTAGAAAGTATTTTTGAGTTTGTGTTCTTTTTGAATATGGGTTTAGAAATTTTGTTCGAGTAATGAAAGACATGCTAGAAATTGTTGAAGTCGGTCGTTTTATAGAACGGATAAAAACTACAGCTTTTATCCGTTCTATAAAACGACCAACTTCAACAATTTCTAGCATGTCCTTCATTACTCTCGAACAAAATTTCTACGTTCAAATTCATAGCTTTTGACTTGTCAGAAATATTTTCTAGCAAGTCAAAATTAAACAAACATGTAGTCTGAAAACTTTCCGATCATCTATTATATAGTATAAAATACGTTATTAGTTTTATGTAGTTGAGATTAATTGAACTTTGAGTCTTAATTATATATCGTGATATGTAAACAATGTTCTTTTAACCTATAATTTCAATTATTTTCAAAACTTTTTCGTATTTCTGATGTTATTCGACGTATATGCAGCAAAATCGTAATTACACATTCTCATGAGTTTTAAACGACTATTATCGATCTCGTATACTAATAGTGTTAGTCAACAAAAATTTATTCATTCCTTCGTTTTAACAAATACAGTAATATCATCTTTTAAATCGAAAAGATTTTTTTTCTTAGTCAATTTTTCTCTTAAAACAGTGGAATAATGTTGCATTATATTCAAATACATATAGTGAGTATTAAAATTTTTCTGCTGTAAGTGCTAGAAAAGGATCCAATTAGTAAATTGAACAGAGAAAACGGTTTCCAATAAGAATAAAATTATTATCGGAAACTTCAGAAAATCAAAACCCTGGTTTTTTAATACCTAGAGCATATAAATATAATTTTGTTTAGGCTACATAGAACAATAGAAGAAATAAATTTCTACATAATGAAACGTTTCCGAGTTCTTTGCGGCGTTTTGTTTTTTTAGTTGGAATACAGCAATTTGATTGAAGGTCAAAAATTGTTTTTTTTTTGTAGGAAAAAAGACGTGAGGAACTTCCATAGTTCAGCTAAAGAACATCGCAAAGAACTCGGAGACACAAAACCTAGTATTTGGGTTTTCTGGAGTTTCTATCTTTGAGAACCTGATAATCATTTTTATTTCCTTATGTTCATATTAGAAACAATTTTCTCTACTCGAATCACTATTTACATTCTTTCTAGTATTTATGACAGCGGGAAAAAAAATTGAAAATAAACCTTGTAAAATAATTTTGTTTTCTACTGTATATGAACAAATGATTAATTAATAAATTATTGCATTGATTTCATAATCATGTTGAAGAATTAGCCTTCTCATGGCTTTTGATAATATCCTTTTATGCATTAGTTGAAGTTCCGTAAACAGGAAAAATAATTCCATTTCAAAATAGATTCATTAAATTTGTTTCCTTAGGAATTCTACGGAAATGCTTATAAAAGATAGAATAAATTAAAATCCATTGAATTGAGAATTTCCTTAATTTGATTTTAAAATCATTTCTTTATGTTATAGTCGATCAGATTGAGAAAATAAAATGCTAAAATTCTTTTAAAAAAAAAGAAACATTATTTATTCATTAACAAAAACTACAGAAAGGTGTTTTTATTATTTATTCTATGTTAAAGGATTTACCAGAACGTATGAATATATCAAAAGAAAATCGAAAATATCAACGATGGAATTTAGTATCAACTGGTGAAATTCTTTGTCGTCGATTTTTAGATTCTTCAATTGTTATTATACGACCTAATGAAATGAAAGATGGAACTTTTGCAAGGTTTGATAAATCAATTAATGTGTTTGATTTCTTTTGTTTTATTTATTATTTTGAAAGATTTTCGAATTTTGTACCTAAAACAGATGAATATGGTAGTCCAATTTCATACGATACAAATAATCTAATTGGTCTTCATCATTTACGTGCACTCGATGAACAGATTATGAAACAAACAACGTTAGTTGTTTAATTTTCTTTTTTTTTTCGTTATTTTATTAATGAAAACTTTTTTAGATCATTGTCAGATATAATTCTCGTTGGTTTTAGTAAAGGTTGTGTTGTACTTAATCAACTTCTTCATGAATTAACTGCTTTACGTTTAATGAAAACAGATGTTGATGGTCTTTCAAAATTTGTATCACGTATTCGTACATTTATTTGGCTTGATAGTGGACATAATAATGGAAATCGAATAATGGTTTGGCCAATAGATGAAAATCTTATATTAACTCTTGTACATTATCAAATAAAAACTGAAATATATGTTACACCATTTCAAGTAAATTCACAAAATTCATACAAACAATATCATACTGAACATTATAAAAAATTTTCAAAATTATTACTTGATCAATCAACAAGTTTATCGACAAATGATCATAAAACAATAAATAAAATATTTTTTGCTGATGAATTACCTTCGATAGATAAACATTTTGAATTGTTAACTGTATTTTAAATATATATATATATATATATATTGTCTTTTTCGAACTTTTGATGGCATGTTACTCAATAGATTTATTATTATGTAATACTTGATCCTTGTGGTTTTTATCTTTGATAAACAATTTATTTCTAAGATTACTAATGAGGATATATAATCTTGTTAGAATGATGAATTTATTTATCATGAAAAAAAAAAACAAAGGCAAAGTCATATATTATTTTCTATTTTTTACT